AGAAGAAGGCATCAGATCCCTTGGAACTGGAATTATAGACAGTTGTTAGTGGCCACATTGTTGCTGGGAACTGAATCAAGTCCTCTGCAAAGACCAGCCAGTGCTCTTAATTCTGAGCCATCTCTCCAGCCTCTGTGTTCAGTTATTGAAGTTCTTTACTGGTGAGATGTCAAAAGTAAGCCACTGAGGGAGAAGGGTATGTATGTATTAGCTGATGTGAACTACCATACTTTTGAGAAAATAGGACTTATTGACAAGGGGAATGTGAGTGACACTGAGCTCATAGTTACCCTGGAAAACAGAGTTACTGAATATCAAGTGTCAAAGCCAGTTGTATTAGTTACTTTTCTGTTGCTGTGACAAAACACTGTGACCAAAGAAACTTATAAAAGGAAGAGTATATTTGAGCTTATGGTTCCAGAGGGTTATAGTCCATAATGGTAGAGAAGGCTTGGCAGCAGATGTGGCCAGAGTAGAAAGCTAGCATCACATCTTCAAGGAGGCACAAGAAGCAGAGGCTTCAGAACTCTCAAACCCTGCTCCCCCCAACCTCCCACACCCAGTGATGAGGTTTCTCTGGCATGGCCACAACTTCTAAAGCCTCCCAAAACAGTGCCATCAACTGGAGACAAACTGTCCAAATACTTAGAGCCTAAGAGGGACATTCTCATTCAAACCACCATACCAGGGGACATTTCTGATAGCTACAGAAGCACTCCTGTGTGTCAGGAAGGCAAAATGAATGGAGGGCTGGGTTTTAGTGGTGTGGTAGGCTTCAGGTAAGGTTATGTGTTTAACCAATAGAAGCAGGTTATGCCAGGATCACAGTGTGGTTAGGAAAAATGTGGGAACTTTGCACTTGGAAAGAGACTACCTTAGTGATGTCCCTGAAAGTTTTGTGGCCAAGATTCACTAAGATCCTCCGTTCCTAAGCATTATAAACCCCAAGGACAGCTGTGAGACACTCTTAGCCAAGTTGGGTTGCCTAGAAGACACAGAGATCATCTGAACTGTCTGGAACTGGAAGAGACGTTCTCCAGCCTGTCAAACTGCCTGCATGCTGTACAGTGTTTTCCATCTTTCCTGTCTTCATGAGATGTCACCCATGCTGGGGTGGGCTTTGGTGATGCAGCTGTCTGTGAGTCATTTCTGCGCCTGTAAATAACCCCAATAAAACTCATTGGTTCACCAAGTTGGATTTTGGTGGTGTCTTTACTTTGATCTGTCATTGATTCATTATCTGGAATGAATAAGTTTGTTCAGGACTCCCCAGGGATAGTGTCATACAACACACTGTCATAGGAAATTAATGGAAGACCAAGAGATCAAGGTTCATTGCTTCAATTAAAAGTCAATTCAGTACCAGGTTTGACCTGGTAAATGGATGGATCTAGAAACTGTTGAACTAAGTGAAGTAACACAGACTCAGAAAAACAAAAGACATATGTCCTTCCTCATTTGTGGATCCTAACACCAAATCCCTATAAGTGAGTACATATCCTTCCAGGAAAATGGAAGGAAACCAGGGAATGGGGGTAAAGAGGAGGAGGAGAAGGAGGGCTACACAAAGAACTATGGGAATAAAAGGGAAGAAGGAGTTCAAAAGAGGTGGGACCATCGCATACAAAAATTATCAAGGGAGAAATGGGGAAAATGGGAACACTTTAAATGGGAAGGGCAGGAAGGGAGGATAAGACAGGGAGAGCAAGAGGAGACATAAATAGAGCCTAGCCACTTAAAAAAAATAGGGAATCATATTAGTCCAAAAACCCACAGAAAAGTTACACATACAATATCCCTACATGAGTCTGTGAGTATAGCTGAAGACTACATAACAAGAGACAGTGCCAGACAGGAGAAACCTTCCTTTGAATTGTTGCCAGCATAGTCCAAGAGACTCTCAAAATTACACAGGTTATTGCCACAGCCCTTGATTGTCTCCCAGAACTTGATGGTAAGACCAAATTGATGAAGACAGGACACACTTTGGACACAGGATTTGGAGCAATGGAGTTGGAACTGACTGGGATGCCACCTCCCCTGAAGGCTAGCTCTCATAGCTTTGGAGAGCACTAGACAAGCTGATAATGGAGAACATTAATTGATGGTCCAACCCCAGCTTCACGGCCTAAAAACCACATCAACCAGCACAGCAAATGATGTTGGTGCAGTAGTAGCACTTTTATCTTGGGGGTAATCAACAGCTACCTAACTGGACTTAAAGCCCACCCAATAGGGGGAAACTCATGCCTGGCACTGTCAACCTAGCCAAATATACATAGCAGGAGAGGTCATAGATCTTAAAGAAAACCCCAAGGCTCTCAAATCCCTAGGCAAATGTAATTTCTTACTATGTGCAAAATATGGATCCTTAAATTTACAGACAAGTATCCAAGTCACCACCCATCAAAGTAGCTTCTTTTTCAACAGAGATTATTACAGAGTTACACCACTGGTCATACACAGAGATTCTCTGTGAATTACCCAAGCCTAAATGGTACATCTGGGATGCAACCCCTATACCCAAGACTCATGGAACATAGAACAATGGATAAAGAGAATACTAATGCATCTTTCAATTCTCATCAATGAAGCTCCCTCATGCAACAGAAGTCCAGGAACATAAAAGGCCACAAATGGCCAAAACACAGAGACTAAGAGTCTGCAGAGTGTGGGTCCATGGACAGGACTCCTATATTGAGGTCTACCCACACAGGGCTCAGGGGCCATTGTAGAGAGGGGGCAGGAAGATTGTAAGAGCCAGGGAGGAGGTGCATGACCATTCAGAAATGGTCCTACATGTCCCTGGTACCCTTCTCATACAAACCTGCAACAATAGTGTCAGCATGCATAAGACCAATGCAAACTTAGGCAGACAAAAAATCCAGCACACAACTGTGAAAATGAACAGCAAGCCCCAATCTTAGTTGAAGAAGTATTGACCATTGGCTACTTCTGGGTGATCTTCTTGAAGGGAGAGAAGTTTGAGTAAACCCTGGTGGATGAATTTTCTCTGAGGAACATCTGGGAACACTAACTTTACATAATAGGCCTTAACACAAATGACAGAATGCATAAACTCAAGTGGGGGGACTATGGGAGGGTGCCAAAGGGGAATGTCAATAAAAATTAAAATAAAGACCTGTATAGCATTTTTTGCAACTAGCGTCTGAATATCTTATTCCTCTTTTATAACTCACAGTTTTGTTTTCTAAAGTATTTTATCATTTTAAAAATATTTATCGGACTGGAGAGATTGCTCAGTGGTTAAGAGCACTGGTTGCTCTCACAAAGGACCTGGGTTTGATTCCCAGCACACATGGCGACTAACAACTGCCTGTAACTCCAGTTGCAGGGGAATTCAATGCCCTCTTCTGACCTCCGTGGGCATTGCATGGCATGGGTGCACTTATATGCATGCAAGCAGTACACACATACACATAAAAAAAAATAATAGACAAAATAAAAATAAATGTTCATTTTTAATAAAAATTACTTTTTGTGTATGAGTGTTCTTGCTGTCATGTATGTAAGTGCACCATGGTCACGATTTCAATGCTTTCAAAACTGGAGTTATGGATGGTTGTTGGCTACCATGTGGATGCTGTGGACTGACCCCAGGTGCTCGGCAAGAGCACCCAGAGAGCTTAATCACTGGAACATTTCTCTAGCCTCATATTCTTAAGGATGATTTTGAGAAGAAGACTGAAATGTCTATTAGAAAATAACATTTGTGTAATTGAAAATATTATTTTGCCATTTCCTTAACCTGCTTTTCAAATGCTATTGTCAAAGAACTTTGATGTCTTCAAAATTGTTTCACAGAACTATGTATTCCATTATCACCGTGGCAAGATATGTGAGGTTTTCTTCCTTGATACAGGTAATAGAGATGAATGATACTATCAGTGTTTAAAAAGTAATATTTGAGGGCTGCCAAGCCTAACCACCTGAGTTGGATCCCTGAAACCCAGATATAGAGAACTGATTCCCACAAGTTATGCTCTGACCTCCATACACATTCCATGGCATCAGTGCTCCCCACTGCAGTGCATATAGAAATATACAAAATATAAAAAAGAATAATATTTGAGGGGTTGGGTGGTGGCTGAGCCAATAAAGTGCTTATCATGTAAGCATGAGTGTGAACCTCAACACCGACATAAAAAGCTGGGGTTGTTGCTTGTAGTCACAGAGTTAGGAAGGCAGAATCAAGTGGATCCCTGGGGCTGACTGGCCCCCAGGCTAGCTGAGTCAGCAAGCTCTTGCTCAGTGAGAGATGCTGTCTCAAAAATTAAGTCAATGGCTCATAAAGAATAACATCTGAGGCTGGGCCTCTGGCATCTACATGCACAGACATGCTTGTGCGCCCTGCCTCCGCAATACCAAAGTTTTAAGAAGTAATATTTGAAAAACCACCAGGTGATACAATATAAAAATTAACAAAGTAAACATCAATTATATTTTTTAGATGAATGTAATGCAGAAGCAACAATTATTTAAAAAGTAGAGTAGGTTTATAAAAGAAATTTATAGTACTGATAATGTATTTCTTGAAAACAAAACAGCAAAGCCATGTCATTGTAATGTGTCATGGTTTATTGCATTTTATTTCATATTATATATAATAAAACTCCCTTAAGGGAATACAGTAAAAAAAGAAAATTACTATTAGGATTTTCCCATAGATTTGTACAAGAAAAGTATTAAATCTATGCAATACTTGGAAATAATATCTTATTCAGTAGGGTATTTTAGAGCAGTGACTCAATGTTTTAACTAAAGATTAATTAGTGTAAAAAGAAGAGATGATGTTCTAATAATTATTCAAAATTTATAACATCTTCGTTAAGATGCTTACTGCTTTCATATGCAGCCGGATAATTTCCTTTAAGCATAGTGCCTTACTCATAGACAAGTAGGCAAAATGACTGCAGAGAATTTTGTGTACATTTGTCAATAGTTACATGTGTTCTTATATTCTACAAACAAAATACTTTTTATACTGAATGTTCAAATGCTCTCTGATGTAATAAAATGTCTTTTCCTAACTGGACTCCTTCCATTATTAAAGATAGTGTAGTACTTGGTGTTTGTAAAGAGTGATATGAAGGTTGTCTGGGCGGATGACTACATTTTTGTCTAACTTTTCCCATAAAATTATTACGCCTTTTGGACAAACTAAGTTTAGTCATATCCCAGTTGATAGTAAGGTTTAACCCTTCTGGAGGTGAGATACTTGACCTTCCGTCTTGTTTTATTTTAGAACAGAGAGTCTTCTTTGCATTACGGCAAGTGTGTTTACAACCTGTGCTTGTCTTTTGACTTTGACTCGTGTCATATTTTTCACAGATATAAGAACTGTCCCTTCCAGTGAGACATAAAATATTCTTATGAGCAAGGGATGGAAGAAATGTTTGAGATGGTATTTTCTCACACAATCTAGTGGATAAATCTTGTACATACCTAGGGAAGTGTTGGCTACTTTTATATTCATAGATTAATTTTCTTGAATCTGAATTATCTAATTTGACTGAGTACAGATCATCTACTGTTATATCCTGATAGGTATCTGGTGGATTTTGAAATGCAGTCAATAGTTTAGAATTACACTGGTATATACTAGGTAAAATTCCAGTTCTATTTTGCTTTAAAATTAATCCAGTACCAGGAATAAAAAGTTTTGGCTCTTCCTGCTTTGACAGATGGGCGATGTCTGTGTTTGAAGGCAACTGACGTCCTTGTCCATTCATGGCTGTGTCTTTCCAGATCAGAGGATTATAGACAACTAGTCTGTCAATAGGGCATGAATTTCCCTTATGTAATAACCAGTTGTCAATACATTTCCTATGGAACTTAAAACAAAAGTTCATAAGTTAAGCAGAGCTACAATGTAGATCATGTTTAAAATTACAGCATCTCTACAAAATTTTCCACTCTAATTGTATATTAAAACTATTTGGCAAAGTGGAAGGTAATTCTAACTTATCAAGTTTTATGAAAATATTTTGAAGAAGTTAATGTACAAATAAACTGGATCTACTACTGACCTCCATTTTAACAGTACATACAAAACCCCACATGTATATCATCTTTGTAATTTTCTTAGAAATTCATTGTTGAAGGTGTTATTTGCATGAAAATTATTTATAATGAAAGAAAATAATTAAATATTAAGTCATAACCAACTAACATTGAAAATGGATCTAGTAATAGTGAGATAAAAATAATACGTGTTTTTTGTAAGGTGCTATCAGCCATGTTGTGTGACTCTAAAACTAGAAATGTTTATTCAGGCATATTGTTTTAGGAAAAATCAGATTATTAATTATATGGCTCTCAAGTAATATCAGAATTGGATTCTGGTGTGTTCATATGAAATAATTGTCAATCAAGGCATTTCTATTTCTTCTAGAGAATTGTAAAAATACAAGACAATTTTAGGATTCTATAGGCTTTTTTCTTGTTACAGATAACTAAAGTAGATAAAAAACCTAACATAAAGTGCCATTTATCCTTTCTAGTCAGTGTTCAGAGAAGTGATTCCCACTCCATTTGAGGGCATCCTGAGGGCCAGGCTGCCTTCTCACTGGCAGCTCCTCCACATGTGCTGTGCCAACCGAATGTTTCTCAACACAGCACAATCAGACAGTGAAAGGGGAAATTTCAACTATTGCTTCATTCCCGAGAAAGGGTCCTGTAGGGAAAGTCAAAGGAAAAGGATAAGGCTTTTACCTTGTGAGTACATGGCAGTTGTCTTGTATATTGGCCAAGGCAAAATGATTTCAAACACAGTCGACACTGGTACCCTGGAGCAAGCAACTTGCTGTTCTTTGTAATCAGTAGGAGAGGCAGTGCCTTTACTGCGTGTTTTGGTGTGTGAAGCTGACTGAATAAAAATACACAGAGAGACCTGAATATCCGTATGTGATTACAGATCAGAAAGAATCCATAGTACAGACATCCTATAAATAATGCAACAGAACCCAAGATTTTCTTGAGTCAGAGATAACAAATCTCAAATGCCATAAACTTTAAAAATCTGTTGCATAGATCCCAAATGTGGTAGATTTAACTCCAAAAAGAACAGAGTTTAGTCACACCAAATAAAATTATTAATGTGAGTTTTTATTTGTGTTTTAATGTCAGTGAAACTAGAACAAAATTTGAAATTACTTTGTGCCAGCAGTGAGACATGTATTTAGAAAACACAATCCGACTTACTTGTGAACTGGTGAGGTGCACAGAAAACTGCCTAAGCATTCCTGGCAACTGTCGTAAACTGATAGATCAATATACTTCATTTTTCTTTCGGGTATAAGCTTATTACAATATCATTAGGCTAACAATGTAACACCCTCTTCTGTCCTCCATGGGTACTGCACAACATGGATGCACTTACACACACGTAGTCAATACACATAAAAAAATGAATAAAAAAAAAGAAATGAAAATTTTACTGAGAGTCTCACCCTTGTTTGTCTTGAAAATATGGCTTATTTCCTTCTCCCTCATTTCTAATATCTAAATATTTTGCATCATCTGATCTCTTTGCTACTGCTTTCCAGCTCTGATTTCTCTTCTGCAACAGATGAGTCAGAAAGTAGATGTTACTTTATAAATCATAAAATTTATTCTATGACTAAAATTAGTAGGCTGCATGGTAATAACATAATAATGTGAGAAATACTCATCATAAACATATCTATTTACCATACTAAAATTATAAATTACTAATGAGTCTCATGTAGTATTGTGAAATTACTAGAATAATCTTTCTTTCCTTTTTCCAGTACTGAGGATTGATTGAACACAGGACAATTAAATGTTCTATCTGAACTACCC